GGGGGGGGCGGGCAGCGGTGCAGATTTGGCCTGGGGGCTGTAGTTTGCAGATCCCCACCCTACATACCTGTCCAACAGAGCCACTTAAAGTTCTTATATTGTTTCTTTGCTTTTCTAAGATTTCTCTCTCTTGTGAGTGAATGAGTGAATGAATGAATGAGTGAATAAACGAAAAAAAGAGAGTATCAGTGCACAAATATTTATCCCATCCCGACCTGTTGGAATCCATTCTGTCTGATTTCTTCCTCCTGTTGTCCGGCTCTCCCAGGCTGGGCGCTGACACAGTCCCAAGGCCCAGCTGGGCTGGGAGGCAGGAGTTACAGCTTTCCCACATTGACGCTTGCTTTGTGCCTCCAGGTGCTGCCCCCCCGACCACCACCATGCCTGAAGTGTAAGTAGCCCCGTCCCTCGTCCCTCTCTCGGGCTCGGAGGAAGCCAGGCCCTTTGCTGCAGATTTCAGCCCCCTAGGGGAGGCACCATCTGTCCAAGCCCTGAAGCAACTTCCCAGGAGAACAGGTTTTCACAGAAGGAGCAATCCTGAGTACCTAGGTCCCCTGTGCCACCATGTGTCCTCCTAGTCTTTGAGCAGAACCCATGCTCCAGGCTCCCTGGGGAAGACCTTTGTGGCCTCTTACAGAGTTTTTCTCTGCGCAGGCAGGATGAATTGCGTGTGCCGGGCCATGGTCCTGCTTTGGCCCAACAGATGAACAAAGCTTTGGGAACTTGCCCACGAGGCCAGGGACGGGAGCTTTCCCATGCTGGAACCCTATGTTGAGGCTTCCCGGAATCTCCAGCACTCCTCCCCAACTTACAATGGCCAGCATCTCCCAGCAAGAACCTCCAGTAGCCCAGAGGGCCCCTGGAGTTTTATTCTGTTCTGCTGGAACCCTTGAGCTGGTCCCCCTGCCTGATGCCTGATGTCCTTCTGGTATATGGTTGTCACCACACTGCCCCTGCCCGGGCTCATCCACATGGTCCTGCTGTTGCATATGTCATCTGAATTGTTCACACTCTGTCTTTTGCTCTCTCCTCCTGTCTTTCCTGTGGTGGATGCCTGAAGCGAGGTAAGTGGGATGTGGGCTATCTCACCCATTCTTGCTCACTTGTCTAACCCTGAGGGACCATCCTGTTTTTTTGCAGAGTCAGTCCAGTAACAAAGGATCATCATTGGGTTATTCTACCCCTGCCCAATGACCAAACATTGAGAGAGGAGCAAAGAGGTGTCCTTACACTCCCCTCAGGTCTTAGATAACTCTGACCCTGAAACAGTACCGAGAACACAGCGTGTGTCCAGTGCAGGGTTAGGAACCTCAGGGATCGGGCTCTGAACTGGCAAGGGTGGGAATTAGCAGCACTGATGGAGGGGACATTTGGCACAGAGATTCTCAGAATCACATACACCATTTTTCAATAACCATATGAATTTCTCAGTTTTGCTGAGGCTCATATTAAAGTGAGTCGCCACTGATCGATGGTCAAACGAGATGGCCTAGAAGCTCACCAGGTGGTGGGGAAACAACATTGCAAAGAAACATTTGCCGTGGGTACATGACAGGGTGTAAACCGTGAGTGGTGATGACCATAGCAACAGGCCATTTCTCCCACAAGCACACTAACCTGAAATGTAGCCCAGCCTTCGCTTTAGGAGAGGAAAGGACAGACAAACCATTCTGAACAGTCAGGTTAGAAGTCACACATTCCATCCATGAAATATGAAGCCCCTTTTCTCCCTTAAAGCCTGCTCACTTCTGCTCTCCCAGCACACAGCACAGTACCAGTAGATAGCCGCACTCTGGCAGCAACCACAATCGACGACCTATGGTCAAGAAGAGATACAAGTGCTCAGAAAGCCTCACAACCTCATTAGTTAGAGGTTGAACAGCCCTCCTTACCGTCACCTCCCCTGGAGTTGGGGGGATGCTGCCGCAAGCTAAGACTTTTATTAGAACATACCTAGTTGGCAAGAATATATCAAGTATTTTTAATAAGAAGAGAAAACAATATTTTTATAGCTGAGAAAGATTAATATGGATGGTGTTGACATTAAAAAAAGTTGTGATGTCTAAAAAGATACACTTCTTGATGTGTGAAATTCACAGCTTGTTTCTGGACACGACAGATCATCAACGTATTGGTATATTACTATCCAGAGCGCTAAGCAGGTGCATCTGTTTCATGCTTTTCAAAGGATTTGCACGTCCATGATGTCATTCTGTCTGTAATAATCCTGTGAACTGAGGAAGGTGGGTCTCAGCATCCTTATTTATAGATGAGGAAGGAGGTGCCCACAGAGGTCACATGACCCACACAGGATCCCACCAGCACTAGTAGCAGGATTGAAAGTGAGGGCTTCAGCCTCTAGGTCAGGGTCAAGGTCACTGACTACAGCATTCCTTGAATTTGAGGGGTTAAATCACAAAGATGAGGGGCCTTTTAAGGGACCCTATGGCAAGGATTCTGGGTAATCATGGTGAACCTGGCAGGCACGCATGCTGGCCTAGACCAGATTTTCAGTTCTGCTGCCTCTATCTCACCACCTGTCTCTCCCCTTCTCACCCTCAGAGAAAGCCCAAGATCACGGCCTCCCGCAAACTCTTGCTGAAGGTGAGGCTTTGGGCTGGCTCTGGGGGGACATCCAGTGGGAGACAGAGGGGATGCGGTGCAGACTCTGCGGGGGTGTGGAGGGTCGGGGGAGGGTGAAGACGAAGGAGGCCAAAGTGAGGATGATGATGAGGGAGGCCGGCCATTGCCTGGAGCCGGGTGGTCAGCGAGTAGAAACCTGAAACTAGGGAGACCTGGCTCCTGCCCGGGTTCTTGAGGGGAGGCAGTGAGCAGCTTCAGGGTGGTAATCCACTGGTGGCGGCCGGAGGGCCTTGCTTTATCTTGGCCAGAGTTTCTCTCTTTGGAGCTCTGTGGGCCAAAACACGCCAGAAGTGGGTACGAGGAGGACTGTGAGGGAAAACAGCTCCAGGGTCCGAGAGATGCTGTGTGTGGTGGCTCAGTGTTTGTTCTTCCCTGGCCCTGCCTGTAGGCAGCACACACATCTGCAGGCCTCGGGACCGGCTCATTCACACGCTCCTAGGGCTGCCTGGTCGGGGCCCTGACCAGTGCGAGAGGACTTGTTGCTTGTAGGGCCAGCGGCAAGAGCCGGCTCCAGCCCGGGGTCCTCCTCCCCTCATGCCCTGATGCTGGGTGGGGAGCACGAGAGCCCTGGGCTCCTGGCTCAGCAGGCTCTGTCCTGTCCAGAGCCTGATGCTGGCCAAGGCCAAGGAGTGCTGGGAGCAGGAGCACGAGGAGCGGGAGGCTGAGAAGGTGCGCTATCTGGCCGAGCGCATCCCCACGCTGCAGACCCGTGGCCTGTCCCTCAGTGCCCTGCAGGTGAGTCTGCGGGGCTGACCCCAGGGCCTAGGTGGCAGGAGCCTGCACTAATACCGGAGCTCTGGGCTCTGTTCCTTTTCAAGGGGCTCTTCCCTTACACGGTCCCATGTAACCGCATAGGCCCCTGGGAGGTGGTGCTGGTAGATTCCATTTCGCAAGTGCGGGGAGGGAGCCTCAGGACTTGTCTGTCCTTTCCCTACAAATAGGTTTTTAATGTTTGAAAAACACTGATAACTGTTTCAATGCCAGCGACTGCAGAGAAAAGAGACTGGAAAGAAATACACCAAAATGTCACCAGGGGTCACCTCCCACTGGTGGCATCACTTGTTATTTGTAGTTTATTCTTTTTGTTTCATACCTAGCTTTCACATTTTCTGCAACTCGCTTATATTATTTTTATCGTAAGAAAACTTTTTAAAGAAAACAATGACATTCCGAAAGGAAAACAAAGGGCTTATGCAGGGAGCTATCAGCAGCCATGAACCTCAGAGAGAAGGGGTGTATCCGCTCCTTTCCAGAATGCAGGTTTTGCAAAGGCACTGGGCAAAGAGGCAGGAAAGGGAGGCTGCGGTCCAGACAACTCCTCTCTCCTCTTTTCTGTTCCTGCCTGATTAACCTGGCTTCCCCCAGGACCTGTGCCGGGACCTGCACGCCAAGGTGGAGGTGGTGGATGAGGAGAGATACGACATTGAGGCCAAATGCCTCCACAACACCAGGGAGGTGAGCTGGCAGGAGGGGAGGGCACGGCTAGCACAGGCTAGGTGCATGGTGGGGCGATGGGCAGGGGGGCCGGGACGTGGGCACTGATGCTGCAGCTGCCGACTAGGTCCCCCTCCTTCTGCAGGGTTTCACAAGTGGCCACTTGGGAAGCTCTGGTCCCTCCACTCCAGCCCCATAGGGCTGGAGATGGGCAGAGAGAGGATAACCACACAGATGAAAAACACAAACTTCCTCTCAACCTGCCACAGGGGCTCTTCACCTCTTTGTTCACCCACACAAACAATCACATGCTAGTTAATAACATCTTCCCTTTGTGAATGGCTTTCATGTGCATTACATCCTTTGATCCTCCCTACACGCGTGTGGATAAAGGAGGTGTTATTACCTGCACTTTACAAAGGGGGATGCTGAGGTTCAGAGAGGCTGAGAACTTTGGTCCGGGTCGCACAGTGGTGGTTGTGGGAGCAGGGCTGGTCGCTGCCCCCCACTGCGGTGCTCAGCGCTCCCTCGGCGAGGGGTGTGGGAGCGGGAGCTCCATGCTGACCCTGCTCCCATGTGGTGGGGCAGAACATGGAGGGCAGAACCCCTGGCTGCTCTCGTGGGCTGCTCCTGGGTGCTTGTTCAAGCAGGGAGGAGGGGAGGGGGCGGGATCAGAGACCACTCTGTTCCTTCCCATTTTTCCCCGGAAGGAATGATGATTTGTGGCATCATGAATCTTCCCAGAATTCCCTCCAGAGATAGCACCCTAGAGATTTTATCCACCCCACTGGACTTAGGCTGTGCTCTCAATGAACTGCTTTGAAGGCTCACCGGGAGGGACTAGTTAGAAGCAGGAATGGGGCCCCAGGAATAGGAGGAAGCAGCCCCACACTCCAAAGAGGGCTTTCAAGCCAGACTTGTGCTGAGTTTGGCGGGGCTGCCCCATCTACTCACGTAACCATGACAGAGATGGCTAATGGGCTTTATCTGTCCATTTACTCATTCATTCGTTTATCAACAAACACGTTGTGGCTATTCTGAAAGTGATGGGGGGGTCTGAGTGTCCCAGAGGGTCTGGCCTGGAAGCTGGAGAATGAATGTGGGGTGTAGCTTTGGCTGGGACCCCAGAAGTCTGAGATCCTCAGGAAGGGTGCTCTGGGGGTGCTCCCTCTCCCGTGAACCCCTGCTCCTTCTCACCTGCAGATTAAGGACCTGAAGCTGAAGGTGCTGGACCTCCGTGGGAAATTCAAGCGTCCACCACTGCGTCGGGTCCGGGTCTCAGCTGACGCCATGCTCCGGGCTCTACTGGGCTCCAAGCACAAGGTGTCTATGGATCTGCGGGCCAACCTGAAGTCAGTGAAGAAGGAAGACACAGAGAAGGTGAGGACCCCTCTTCTCAGAACCTTTCACCCCCTGTCCTATCACCTGTCACTCTGTCACATAGCCTCAGGCAGGGGCTCCTGTTGGAGGCCAGACAGACTGCTAGAACATTCTAGAACCCTCTGGGAGACCAGTGATGAAGTCTTGTGATTCTGTTTTGGGAGAAAGAAGACTTGCTCCCTTCCCTCAGGCTGCTCTCAATCTGAGAAGGAAACCAGGACCTAGAGGAAGCCAGACCAAGCAATAAAGTAGAAACTGCACCCAGTGTGAAGAGAATGTAGAGTTGGGGTGACCAGGGAGATAGTGCCTTCTGTCACTACTGGGGAAAAGAAGACAGCAGGTCATTGTGGTCATAGGACACACGAGCACAGACATTAGAGAACTGAGTTCAATCACTCATTCAGCAACAAATCACTCAAAGCTGATTGAACTCAATATATGTGCTCAGAATGGATGGGCTCTAGAAGGAACATGAATGAAAGACATGGTCTCTGGCCCAGAGAACTTCATAAAGAGAAGAGATGGCAGGTAGTATGCGGGTAAAATGGAAAACGAGCCAGTTTAGGGAGGAGGTAGGCTTCTTAGAAGAGGTGGCCTTGAAGCACCAGACCAGGAGGTTGGCGTGGGTCTGGAGGCAAGGCTGGGCTGTGGTTCACTGGGGTGGGAACTGACCCCGGCATCCCACTGCGATCATCCAGAACTCCCAGCCGACACAGCTTCCTTCTTCTAGTGGAGCCTTAGCTTGTCCAGTGTCTACCCCAAATGTGTCCTTGGGCCTCCCCAGTTGGGCAGGGGTGTTGGGATTTCCTCTTTTCGAAGAGGCTGACTTTCCCCTCACCTAGTTGCTCTTGTGCCTGGGGGCCCTCCAGCCTGCTCAGTCTCTGACATGTGTGTGTGTGTGTGTGTGTGTGTGTGTTTGTGTGTGTGGCCCCCCAATAGGAACGGCCCGTGGAGGTGGGTGACTGGAGGAAGAACGTGGAGGCCATGTCTGGGATGGAAGGCCGGAAGAAGATGTTTGATGCCGCCAAGTCTCCAACCTCACAGTAGAGGTACCTAGAGGGCGCCTGGGTGGCTCAGTTGGTTAAGCGACTGCCTTCGGCTCAGGTCATGATCCTGGAGTCCCTGGATCGAGTCCCGCATCGGGCTCCCTGCTCGGCAGGGAGTCTGCTTCTCCCTCTGACCCTCCCCCTTCTCATGTGCTCTCTCTCAAATAAATAAATAAAAATCTTTAAAAAAAAAAAAAAAAAGAGGTACCTAGAGACCAGCTCCCTTTTTCTGGGGCCCACCAGAATCTAACAGATAATAGGGGCTCCAGGACGATGGCCGGTGGGTCAGGCCCAGTGTGGTGCATTGATGGGGGTCAGCTCTGGTCAGCTTGGTCCTGGCTCCAGCCCCTGGAGACCTTGGGCGCATCATTTTTGCTTTGGGACACTTTTTGTTCCCCTCGTCTATAAAACTGGAGGCTGTATCAGATCAGTGTTCTCCAAGTGTGGTCCTCGGTCCAGGAGTATCAGTTCCACCAGCAAATGATCTGGCTTCACCCGTGAGCCCTTGAATCGGCAACTCGGTGGGTGGGTGGGGGGAGGCGGGGCGGGGACAGCCCTCCGGGTGATTCTCCCGCAAGACCTTGAGAGCCACTGGGTTGGATGATCCCTGAAGGCCCTCCAGCTCTGACTTTCTCAAAGTCTAAGCTTTTAAAAACACCTCCTGGTAAAGTACCCCAAACTCAGAGTCCCTGGTCCCAGGGGGTTCCATTCAGAGAAGACAAGACCAGCCCTTCTCTGAGGAAATTGCTGGAGAAAGCAGCAAAGCGAGGCTGCATAAAAGCCCCACGGGAGTGCTGAGGGGCTGTGCAACAGGACAGGGATCTGGCGCGTAGCCCTGGTACAGGAGGAAGAGATGGGCAAGTGTTAGCAGATAGAGGAGAAGGGTGCGTTGTAAGGCTGAGGTGGGACTTAACCAGCCGCGGTGGAGGAGCCACAGTGTGGACAGCCGTGGTAGGGGTTCCGAAAGGGAGGGGAGGGAGCCCGGGTCCTGGGCTGAGAGGCTGAGTCTTCATAGGAGCCCCTCTGGATGATGGTCCAGCCCGGGGTGGGGGGGGCGGGTGCTAGGGGTGAGAAGTCCCAGAACTGTATGTCCCACGGGGAAATCGGTAAGATGGCTTCTGCCTCTTTGTCCCTACAGGCCGGCTTGCTGCGCTGTGCTCTGGGCTTCCGTTTGCGCTCCTCCCTCCAACCTGGCTCACCTACCTCTCTGCATCCCACCCTGCCTTTCTGGAGCCTCCCATCCTGTTCCCACTTCTCCCCTCCAGCCTGAGTGCCCTCCTCTGGAACTGGGATTCAACAGACACCCAAGAGGACAGAGAGCAGTGTCTGAAGACCTCATCCTGGCAGGGTGGAGACCCCGGCCAGCCGTGGTGTAGCCAAGCTGAGGAGGAAGAGGTGTGAGAGCACCTTCCCTCTGGCCCCTTGCCACATCCCTCCACTACTTCTGTGACATGTAGAGTGCCCCCAGGTATCACAGCTTTTCCATTAAAAACCAGGGTCCTGGTCATTTCTGTAACTCTGGCTGTGAGTGCTCAGGAGAAAGAGACAGGGAGTCTGGAGAGATGGGTGTGCTGGGCTCCAGGCGGGAGCTCGGGGTCAGAATGGAGGTCTAAGGAATTGGCAGCTGTCTGCTAAGGCCCCTCTGGGACCCATTCTGCTCAGTCCCAGTGACATCACACAGCACCCCCTCACAACCCAGGATGCTCAGATTACCGAAGCCCTACCCTCTGCAATAGCCCCAGCCCCTCCTAATGATTCCAGCCATCAAGATGGGCCTCTCCATTTGAGCCCCTTGTCCTGCTTGATTTCACAGTTCCCTTTCTCCGCAAACCTGGATCACCTCCCGCTGGTAGCTGCTGGATGTTCCTGACTTTTCTGGACTGAGAGGTCAGGGTGCTTTCAGGCCCTCACCTGGTCCTACAGGCACAGGGCGGGAGTTAATCCGCACCCTGGCCCAGGGGGTGGGGACACCTTGCAGTTCTATGTCTTGCCACGAGGTGGCGCCTTTCCCCCATCGCAGCCCCAGGGGGCCTCCTGTCCTGACCCCTGCTCGCTCCACCCTCATGCACCCTCCTCCCAGTCATTTTCTCTTCACACTCCTGGACTGGTCATATCCTCCAGGTCACATCCTCCAGATCCACTGTCCTCGAGGTGGGCCGGCCAGTGATCTGTCCTCTAGGTCTGGTTCTTCCTCCATCCCACTGATACCTGGACCCAAAGCATAGTGAGGGGTGCGAGCCTGCTGGGGTGGAATGGGGGGAGGGGCAGCCTCCCTCCCTGCCCTCCCACATACCGAGGAGAGTGGCTTCTCTGGAGCAGAGACCAAAGTTCTGGGAAGAGCAGAGCCTGGCTTTTCAGGGCAGTGTCCTGGCGACTCCTGAACTAAGCCTACAAAACCGGGGCCCTTTGACTTTTAACCACCTCAGCACTGGTCCCAGGAGAGGCTGAGCTGCCTGAGGAGTCCCCCTTCCTCCCGCCCTGTGACTCCCTGTTCTGCCCTCTGCTCCCAGTGTATTATTTGCCATAAATACGAGAAGCTGGGTACAAAGGGCAGTGCCGGCTACTCCCTGGGGCAGGGTCTAGCAGCCAGGGCTGCTCAGCCCATCGGCCCCTGCAGGGACCAGCAACTTGGGATGGGGTAGGCGAGGCAGCTCTCTACCCGGGGTCCTTGCTACAAACAGCCCAGGAGGCAGAAGGGCAGTTGTGTGCAAAGAGAACAGCTCCTACCGTACACAGAAACCCTTAGGCACAAACACACCCAGTCTCTCTCATACACACACATGCAAAGCTGGAGAACCTGATGGGGCCAGTCCGCGCCACAGAGGATGGGGTTGGGCTTCATGCCCAGGCAGCCACAGAAACCCACCCTGCCCTGCCTCACAGAGCTCCTCCCGGCTGGCCTGGGTCCAAAGCATGGTCTCCTTGCTCTGTCTCTGCTCAGCCCTTGGAGAGAGCCTGGCCCCAAGTTCCAGAGCCAAATCTCAGTTCTGCCAGTCAACTATTAACCTGGGGCCCTGGCAGACTGGGGTCTCCACCCTGTCCTACAAAAGCCGGAGACCAGCCCCAGGCCTGACTCAAAACAAACACCCGGGTGCAGAAAGCCTGCGGGGCCAACTCAACACACCCAAGGCAAGGGCCCTCTGGGAAAGTGCCACGGCCCGGCCCGTGTGGAGGCTTTCTGGAGGTCATCGTCTGGTCCCTCTTGCTTCCCAGCAGGGCTAGAACCAATCCATCTCCTGGGAGAGCGGAGCAAGGGCAAAGGGGCAAAACGCTTCCTGAGAGTGAAGACCATGGGAACTGAGTGGGTGAGGGAGGAGGTAGGCTCTGTCACAGGGCTGCTTTGCGGGGAAGAGCAACCTCTGGGAGGGGGCTCCTAGTAGAGTCGTAGCTGTGAACAGGGCCTGGGTGGGAGGCATGGTATCTGGAGAGCCATGAGTCTACTCCCTTTCACCACGGAGGGCCAACACTGGACGGGATACAGGGGGAGCTGAGCTGGGAGCTGGGCCTCCCACTAAAAACACCTCCCATTGAGTATATGCCGGGCGCCACTCTACACATCTTCACATTTCACCTTCACGATGCCCCTCTGAGAAAGGGGCACAGAGAGGTTAACGCCTGCCCTCCCATGGTCACACAGCAAGTGCATGGAGGTGCCAAGGTTTGACCCAGGCAGTCAGAGTCCATATGCTTACTCACTATTTTAGTAATAATAAAAATGATGCTCAATGCTTTATCAGAATTATATCATTACATTCTCACAAAATGCTAAGAAGTAGACACTCTTTTTTTTAAAGATGTATTTATTTATTTGAGAGAGGGAGAGCAGGAGGAGGGGCAGAGGGAGAGGGGAAAGAGAGAGAGAGAGAGAATCCCCAGGCAGACTCCCCGCTCAGTGCAGAGCCCAACTGGGGGGGAGGGGGCTCAGTCCCAGGACCCTGAGATCATGCATGGCCTGAGCCGAAAGCAAGAGTCAGCCACTCAGTGGACTGAGCCACCCAGGTACTCCAATACTCTTTTTTTTTTTTTTTTAAGATTTTATTTATTTATTTGACAGAGAGAGAGATAGCGAGAGCAGGAACACAAGCAGGGGGAGTGGGAGAGGGAGAAGCAGGCTTCCCGCCGAGCAGGGAGCCCGATGCGGGGACTCGATCCCAGGACCCTGGGATCACGACCTGAGCCGAAGGCAGACGCCTAACGACTGAGCCACCCAGGCGCCCCGGTACTCCAATACTCTTATCTTGGATTGCAGGTTGAGGACCTGGAGGCTGGGAGAGGTGAATTAATCCACCTGGAGCTGTAGGGTTTGAGAGCTGCACACCAGCACTTGGAACCTAGGTCAGCCTAGGTTTTCTGCCACAGGGAACCCAACCAACCACTTTCCAGAAGGGACACAGCTGGGGGTCAGGAGCCCTGCATATGCACCTGAGGAATTCCAATATCCCCACCGAAAGGGAAAACCTTCAAATGAGATGCAAATGCCACCCAACTGAGCAAAGGAGAGGTCTTCCTCCAACACCAGGGCCAGAACTGGGGGTGGAGGGACGGAGGATTTTTTGGGATGCCTGTGGCAAAGCTGAGTAAGTATCTCTTGTGCAGCTGGAGATGGATCTGGTGCTCCTCCCGCCTTGGTAGGAATGACCAGGGCAAAATGCCCCCTGCTACCACCCCTGCCTGTCCCAGAGCCCTCAGGACGCCCGCAGCTGCCTCTCCCTCCCCATGAAGTCCCTGTCTCCATGGGGGGCGGGAGGCTGGGCCCCTGTCTGTCTGGAGCCCACCCCCAGCAGGGCGATCAGGGCAGGCCCAGTGTCCAGGGCTGCTGGGACTAAAGGGCCTGCGGAGGAAGGGAGCTGAGTTAAACATTAGCCCCAGAGGCCCCCCACGAGGTGAGTCAGACTCCCCGCAGGGATCTGGGCTGGGCAGCCAGGGGGGCAGTTTCATTCCAGGTGGGTGATCAAGCTACTGAAAACTGGGACAGGTTGCTGGGACCCGTGCAGATGGCAGGTCCTCTCCTGACCACATCGGGGCTCTCGCCTCAAAAACCCCCGAAGCTTGCCGGCCGAGGCTCCTTCACTGGAGCTGAGGAACAAGGGTATCCCCTTACTCCCAAGACACAATCCTAAGCTGGCCTGTGGGTCCCCTGAGGCTGAGAAGAGTGAGTCCCTGTAGCCCCGGGGCCCTGGCACCAGAGAACTATGGTCAATGTCTGCAGGCCCAGAGAGGGAAAGTGATTTGTTGAAGGTCACAGATAATAATAGGGATGAAAACATGGGTCCTTGGACCCCCAGTCTCCTGAAAAAACTGGATGTGGGTAGAGTTTTGGTATCCCAGCCAGAGGCAGAGGTCCAGTGACCTGAGCAGGTGGCCCACCTCTGGGCCGGCCCAGCACGCATCTGGCCCTAGTGCCAGCAAGTACCCCCTCACTGGTCCGCACAGACCGGGCGAGGCCGCCCTCTACTCCAGGTCTGAGAGAGAAGTATGGCCTCATCTGGGGGCCGGGTGTTCCAACCTAGGAGCCCCTGGGGGAGGGGATGTGTGTGTGTGCGTGTGTGTGCGTGCGTGTGAATGCTCGCGGCTGTCCATCTGAAGGTGAGCCTGGTGTGTGTGCACACACAGCAGGCAGTGTCTTGCCTGTCCCCGGTGGGGCGGATGCCGGTGTGTCCCTTGTACGGGTGCTTCCCAGACACAACTCTCCTGATTCGCTCGCTCTTTGTGACCCACGTTTCAACGGCTGCACGATGGGCAAGCGAGGGCTGCTGTGGTGGAAGTTTCCATAAAGCTTAATGTACTCAGTGACAAGGGCTCTCCTTTGTTCTAAAATTATGCATGCCTTAATGTTATGATTTTAGTACTAACATATTCTTTACTTATGGAGTGGGAGCAGGGTAGGTAGTCATTGTTTTTTAATGTTCATACTTTGCAAAATAAAATGGTATCAACACCATTTGGGTATTCATATATTTTTTTAAAGGAGCGGCAGATGGAGGGAGAAGCAGGCTTCCCGCTGAGCAGGGAGCCGGACGGGGGGGCTCCATCCCACGACCCTGGGATCATGACCTGAGCCGAAGGCAGCTGCTTAACTGACTGAGCCACCCAGGCGCCCCAGGGTATTCATATTTAAAACATATTATTCGTTAGTAAAAACCCAAAGCCAGGGAACCACCGCCCTCGGTTTTTGAGGGTATGAGTGTGATTACCTCATTTGTTTTCTGCCTTCCCCTAGAGTGGTCTGGCATGGCATGTGCTCAGTGGGTATATATGAATGGGAATAAACCTGAAATGTCAGGGTGTGATTTACAAACCTGCTGGTCTGGGGCCAGGGATCCCCCTGGATCCCCACTCTGGCCTCTTTGGAGAAGGAGAGGACGACCTATGAGCTATGTAGATAAGGGTAGGGGGTGGGGGTTCCAGAGCCTGACGTCAGTTCTGGGAGGAGAGAGATGCCCCCCTTCCCCCACTGCTGGCTGGGAAGTCCTGAAAACTGCCTTTGACCATGGAATTCCCCATGTGAAAAGCCCT